AAATAGAGACGAAACGTTCAACGGATAAATATAGTGTTCATCTTAATTAAACCCGTCCAAAAAACAACTTCCCTAAGAGTAAACTTAGTAATAATATTAATAAATTTTGGATAAGAAAAAAAAAATCTTGATTATATTAACATTAATCGTAATATTATAATGGGTATCTATGATAATAAAAGAAAACAATTTGTTTTTTGTTTTTAAATAATAAATTGATTAGTATGGTCGTGCACCTATTCACTGGGCTGCTTCGAAAGGGAACACGGAAATCATTGAGATGCTGATTAAAACTAAATGTGACATTGAAGCAAAAGATAAGGTTCATTAATATTCTTATTTTATTCCGTATACAAATTAATATTATAATGTTATTAATTTTTGATCCACCAACCCCATCACCCCCTTCCTTTTATTTCAGTTTGGTATGCGACCATTGCATATGGCTGCGTGGTACGGACACGAGGATGCTGTTAAAGTTTTGATAAACGCCGGTGCTAATGTTTTTGCAGTTAACAAGGTAGCTAATAAACAGTTCAAACCAAAATTTCATCAATTTAATAATTTATTATTATTATGCTTATTATTTAATTCTTTGTTTATGGGAAAAAGATTGGTTTTTAACGTGTTATGTACGGTACAGTGATATTTTTTCGGCGTGTGCGAATAAATGAAATTAAATTATTAGAAAAAAAGTTAAAAAACAATATCTGGTTTTTCCGAATAAGTTACCCATCCATTTTTATTAACTGTGCCAAAGTTATTTAACTTTAATGATTTAAAAACGAGAATTAGTAAAACAATTAATATAAATATTTGTTCAAATTTTTGACTACATATCAATTTATATATAATTTATATGTTTTTTTTACAATTTATTTAGTTAATTATCAATTTATTTTATTGTTTTGTTTTTTTCATCAATGTTTTCGTATGATAATAATAGGAGAAAGAAAGATGCATTCTTTCTTTCTATCGCAGAAACAATATACTTTACTAATGTGTGGTGCTCGTGGGAATAATGTCAACGTCGTAAAATATCTTGCGGAAGCTGTGGAATCCTTGAATGGAGATGCAACGGATTACACAGGTGCAACTGCATTACATCATGCAGCCGTCGCAGGACATCCTGGTGTAATATCCGCGATATGTAACATTCCAAAAACAGAATTGAATGCGACAGATCAAGTAAGCGTTATTACTTTTACTATTTATGACATTGTTTTCAGCACATCTTTGCAATAAATAATTAATATTTTTAATAATTATTATCCGATTCATTTAAAATTTTGCATACGTGATCTCAATAGTTGTGTCTTATAGTAATTGCAATATTACTTTCTGAATTTAAATCTGACAGACATAATTTTATTCTGTAAAGTCTTAATACTGAATTTTCGAACACTCGTGACCCTGTTCTCAGTGCATCCTTGCAATGAATAATTAATAATTTTAATAATTATTATCCGATTCACTT